AAGATTGGAGTTTAAAAAAAAAAAAATTAAAAAAAAAAAAAAAAAAAAAAATCATCAAATACAGTTGCTTGCAAACAGGTTTGAACGAGTCATTAAAAAGAATCGTGTCAAATGAACGATTCCCTCGAGAATCACTAAAGACCGCTGCACACGCCGATCTGCTCGATTACATTTCATCGCATCTAATATACAATATAACTTATACATGTTAAGAAGAACACGTTTATAGAGTAAACTGAATCAAATGAATATGAGAAGCAAGCCAGACGAAGTGTTTATAAAAATGTCGGCGGTGGAAAAAATTAACCCTTAAAGCGCCCACGCCATGATTGCAGTGTGCACAACAGAGTAACAATAGAAAATTACAATTACTTGGTGCACTTTACACAAATTCCGCTGATTATGTCTTCTACTGGAATAATTAAGATAGCTCTCCTCACAAGTAATGCACTGTGGCACAGTTATATTCGTGTCCCGTTTCCCCTTTAATTGTGCTGTTCAGTTTGTGCTTACCGGTTTCGCTCGATACAAGAGACGCGACGCTCCCGCAATGCACCGCGCGCAGAAAGGGCACCTGGAAAATGTGCCTGAATAGACTGCCACTGACTAACAATGCCCTTTTTCTTGACGAACAGCACCATATTCGTGATGCGTACGAAATTGTATTAACAGCTCAGGCGATGATATGTCCCTTCCGAACAACAACGCGAGCTAATAAGTGTTCTGAGGCGATATTTGAATTAAAAGGTCGAAATTCTAGTGGGGTCCTTCGTTCCCGCGTGACGTCATCACCTCCCCTTTAAAGGCGATCGGAGTGCGGCAACAAAAAATGTCCACATTAGTTTGCACCTTTAAACTACCTTTTTTTTTATATATATAACGATTTGCGTTCTTTTTTCTTTGCCTTGTTAGCGTATTATTTTTGGTTACTATAAATGATCAGTTTAGTGATGATAAATGGTTTATTGTACATTTGATTGTGTTTATTCTTCATGCAAATATACAAATATTAAGCCCCTTTACAATATAAATACAAATTCTAAATCTGTCAACAAAGAAGCAGTCAAAATCTGACAAACCGGTCATTCTTGAGACGTGGGACAAAACGGGTCCAGCAAGTGTAACTGCTATTAGCTTTAAAAAAGACAAATATTTTCAATTGTAAATGTCATGAGGGATTAATAATAGAATGTATTTAACACAATTATCACCTTCAATTTAATTTTCTCATTATTATACCAAATCTGTGTTTCTTAATGTCCTCTCACTACATCTAAAACAGTGTGTCCACAGAGAAGGGTTCAAGCATTCATATGCAATCAAATGGATACAAATGTTTTTTAATGATGAAAAAGAGCTTGTTTTATCAAAAGCAACACTTAATAATATCTCCTATCAAAGCAAGGTTGTTTTTTTAATGACACATGCATGTTTCATAAGATTTTAAAGTTGCGTCCCCACTTTTTGTCAACACCGTCAGACATTGAATCAAATGTAATAAAATCAGGGAACATCAGGGGCCACAGTTCACCTCTGCAGAGTACATCAGTGTCAGACAGGCTCTGCTAAGTTTTAGTTTTAGAATATTTTAAATCCTAATGTTAATATGTCCTTTGTCACAGTCATGATATGTCAACACCATCTTCCAATTTCTGAGGAAATTATTTGAAATATTTAGAT